CTTCCAAATCAGTATATAAGGCACACTGAATTCTGGTCTTTATTGTGTATTTTTCAATCATTCAAGTCGGTATGAGATGCATCCTTTGTGCAACATGATTGATTAAAAAACACACATTCATTTTATCGTACTAACTGTAGCCATTAAGGTTCAGGTGGGCAGCCTAATTTCACTGTTTTCAATGTTTAGATTATAAAAGCCTAATTCCAACAATTTGTAACAAGAACTGCCATCAAGAATTGAAATGGTGTGTAGTTCAAGCTTAAAAGGTATTTATTCTAAAACTGTATCTACTTCTGTTTAATATGAAGTTAGCTAACATTGCCCAAATAAGCTTGTACACTATAAAGACAACCAAATCAAATGTTAAAACGTAGTGCAACACATCCTATTTTAAGAACCGTTAGTTTTACTGTGTGTGTTATTTAATAGTGTTAAACAAATAAACAGCTATAGCTGAAAAACCAGGCAATGAAATAATGTTATTAAAAAGCTGCAATAAATAAGTTGTGGAAAGAAGTGGGTTCAAAAAATGAGATGATATAGTGATAAAAGGTTGTGCACACCTAGCTGAAAACCAACAAACTCACCGAATAACTCTAGTTCCTATGCCCTTGCTAAAATGAGGCAATAATAATAATGATCTCACGTGGCTGATAAGTCACGGTTGAAAAGGGAGAGGGGTAAAAAAATAGCTCATCAAATCTAGAGCAAAAATTATTATTTGTTTTTTTTATTAGTTGTTATTAAAAAAATAAGAGAAACTAAATTTGTGCATTTTAAATGGTAAATTCAAGGAAGAAGTGCAGCCAATGGGTAATCATTCAAGGTAACATTTAATGAATGCACAAGTAAAAATATGTTGCAAAGGTGGTATTAAGATATACAGTATTATTACTATTTATTCCACACACAAATGAACAAAATGCTCATTACTTTCTATCAGCTATACCAAGGCTGGATGGAGACAATCACTCAGAAGGATCAAGATAACATGACTTTATATTACAGTTATACAGTGATGAGATATAATGTATCTTACCTAACAATTTTAGTGCCTTGTCTGTAGAGTTGCATGTCAACCATTGTTCCACCATCAGAATACGAGGCTAGATTCAGTTCAGAAAACTCACACTGTTGGCATACAAAATGAACAAAATCAACTATTATATAGGACACATGAAATTTGTGTAAATAGTTGTAATGTACTGTACAATTCTAATGATAAGGCAATACAGTGTATTCTAATTAAAAAAACATCAATATGAATGTATTTGATTATAATGAATAAAATTCTCCCATCCATTCATCCATACACAATAACCAACGCATTCTTTCCTCCCCATATCCATCCAACCACACACCCATTATCACGTCAACCCACTCATTCATTCATTCCTCTATTTACTCAACTATTCCTCCATCTATCCATCCATTCATCCCTATCTTTCTATCATTTCTCCATCTATTCATCCTCCATTCACTCATTCATTCCTTGTTTGTTCAATCATTCCTCCATCTACCCAATCCTCTATTCATTCATTCATTCATTCATTCATTATTTTTTCAATGACTCCTCGTCCACCCATCCATTAATTCTACCATCTATTTATACATCCATCTATCTATTTCTTATTCGTTCAATCATTATTTTCATCCATCCACTAATCCATTTAAAAGCTCCGTACATGTTTACCATCCCATATCTATCACTTCACACAACACGCCCAATACCACATCTGCTCACCCATCATTCACTTATTCATTCATTACATATTCAAGGCATTAGTATGAATAGCCTTCATTTTAACAGTAAATATTACCTCTAGTGATTGAAAAATTATCTTTAAGTATTAGAAATGATCTTATCTTTTTGGTGCTGAACTTGTTGAACTACTCTGTGATTGATTTTATGCGTTAAAAAGCAATGCATCTCAGATGTTTTATTCCCAAAACAGTCCTTGTAATACAAGGTGAATAAGCATTGGAGAGGGTGGTGAAACCTATTTTTTTTGTAAAGCCAAGAAAATAGATGACTATTTTCAGGAGTGATTTGTAAAAGTATCTACCGTTTCTTTTTCCAAAATCTGACATTCCGCTAAGCTTATTAAAGGCCAGTAGTCGTAACGGTGTGTCATGTGATATAGAATAGAATAGAATAGAATAGAATAGAATAGAATAGAATAGAATAGAATAGAATAGAA